CATAAAACCATGCAAAAAATTATCATCCTAAGCCCTAAATGATGTTGTATAAAAAGGGGTTCGATTATGACTCAAACTATGTTTTCAAAACTAATAAATGGTTTAAAAAATCTGTTTTTTTTAAAAATCACCTAGGAGTCATAATCGGTTTGTTTCCAATACCATTTTCATTCTAATCAACCTAACTAAAATAACCAAAGTTTCATCTTAGGTGCCTAGGTCATTACCTTTGTCATTAGTATGAAGGTGCATACTGAGGTTGAATGATGTTACTTTGATGATTGATGTCCTCCCTTCAATGACATTTTAGATCTTGAACTTGATAGCCTCATGACTATAGAATAGGTTAAGATTTTACAATGGACTCGAAGATATTAGTCGATTACAAATACCATCTAACAAAGCAGAATATGAGGCCCTCCTAGTAGGATTAAGACTCACATCACATTTGGATGCCTAACAATTAGACATCTATTCCAATGCTCAACTCATTGTAAACCAATTAAAAGGGTAATACATGGCAATGGATGAATGAATAATATCATACCATAATTTGGCAATTAAAGATCTAGGCAGGATCCCTAGCTTAGTTGTGCATCAGTTTACAAGGGTCAAGAAAGCACACGTCGATGCCCTAGTTGCCCTAGCAACGTTCCTTGGGGAGAATTCGACGAAGAACATCCTTGGGGAGAACCTAGACCAATCGAGCATTGAGTTGGGAGTATCGGTGAAAGTTTTCTCCATCGAGATAGGCTCTAATTGGATTGACCCGATTATACAGTTCATCAAAGAAGGATAACTCCCCAATGATAGGAAAGAGCCTCATAAGGTGAGATTGAAAGCGACTAGGTTTTGGATATCATCCAACGGAGAGCTCTATAGATGATCCTTAACGGGTCCATACCTACTTTGTGCATATCCAAATAAAGATGAGGATTTCCTTTCTGAGATTCACGAAGAAAGTTGTGGATCTCACTCAAGAGGAAGGATACCCAAAGATATGTAAGACAATGCAAGAAGTGCCAAAACTTTTCCCCCATACCGAGACAGCCTGCGTAAGGCTTGAATCCATTAGGGAACCCATGGCCTTTCGCCCAGTGGCTATTGGACATTGCTGGACCATTGCCAAAAGCATCCGGGAATAAGAAGTACCTTCTTGTGGAAACAGAGGGTGAAGCTGAATCCCTTAGTCACATAAGGGACACAGATACAAAAAAAATCATCTGAAAATATATCATAAGGTTTGGTATCCCAAGGGTGCTGATCTTTGATAACGACACTCTGTTCAAAAGTGGTCCATTCACGAAATTATCACTGTGTTATGAGATTAGGAATCACAAATCCTCCCCCGCATATCCACAAAGTAATGGGTAATCAGAGATCTTGAATAAGACAATTCTAGATGGGATTAACAAATGGTTGGAGAAAGCCAAAGGAAAGTGGGTAGAAGAGCTATCGAGGGTCTTATGGGCACATTGAACCACCCCTCGCAAGCAATGGGAAAATTCCCATTTTGAGCTAGCCCATGGGATGAAAGTCGTGATCCCCATAAAGATTGGTCTATCCACTCCTAAAACTAACCTAGTTGATAGCGGGAAGAGCAAGGATATGATTGCCAAAGACATAGGCCTGGAAGATGTGAAAAGGAAATTAGTAGCCATAAGGACAGCATTTTACTAATAAAACATTGCCCAAGCTTATAGCAGAATGTAAGGTCAGGGGGATTCCTGGTGGTCAAGCTAGTTTTGACAAGAATAATGGGTGCCGCAAAAACCATCGGTGAAGGGAAGGTTGGGGGCTTTAGATCTTAGAAACTCAAAACCAAAAAGGGAAAGTAGTTCCACGTCCCTGGAATGCAATGAATCTCCAAAAATACTACTTTTGAAGTACTTTCAAATATTGGACAATATTGCAAAACCTCTAATCAATAATACTAGAGTGCCTCCACCAAAGGTCGACCTAAAGTAGCTTCAACGTCATCTAGTTAGTCTTTAGAAAGATGTAAAGTAGCCTTTTCAATAAATGAAAATCTTTATTACAATTTTTTTTTTATTTCTTTCGAGATCTCTAGAATCAATTGCACAATGAGACTTTGCTAAAAGAAAAGAAAAACGAGTCCAAATAATGAAATTCTAGGAAAAATACATGGGAAGGCATAGGAACAATTCAATCTACTACCAAGGTATTGAAGACAAAAATTCTGACAAAAGCAAAGACCTAGATCAAGTGTAGCCAACTAATTAGGCTTACACCTAGAAATAGACACGATGGTGTAAGCTTAAGGTAGAGAGCGCTGAGCCCGATTAGATTGGTGGGTTGGTACAGAGTTTACAATATGAAAATTAGGGACTAACACCCTAACCCTTCTTTGAGGACCGAGCATCACTAATAGGGGAATAGGGAACTACCAATTGTTCTTTTTTAAAAAAACCTTATCCTTCTTTTAGGACCAAGCTTCAATGCTAGGGGGAAAGGGACCTATCAATTATTTTTTCCTAAGTATAAAGCCCCTAACCATTCCTTATGGACCAAGCCTTAGTGCTAGGGGGAAAGGGGACCTATTAGTTATTTTTTCTTAGTGTAAAAGGCCCTAGCCCCCCTTTGAGAACTAAACCTCCATGCTAGGGGGAAGGGGGCCTGTAAGTTATTATTTTCTAAATGTAAATGGCCCTAACCCTTATTTTGGGGTCGAACCTCAATGCTATGGGGATAGGGGACCTATCAGTTATTTTTTCTAAGCACAAAATGCTCTAGCCCTTCTTGGACAGAGCTCAATGCTAGAGGAAAGAGGGACCTATCAATTATTTTTTTCTAAATTTTAAAGACCCTTCTTAAAAGCCAATAAATAATAATTAAAATGGGGAAATCAAAATACTACAAAACACAGTATATTCCATTCATAGAGCAAAAGCTACATATGGGAAAATAAGTAACTAAAATTTTTTCAAGAACTTGTAGCAAGTGAATTGATAGTATCAACAATAGTAGAGGGATCAACTGGGTCAACGGTAGAAGAATCAACAAGACCAGTGACAGGAGAATCGATAATAGGGACATCAATTGCAAGAGGTTCAACAGGAGGATCAACTAGTTGAAGGAATTCACCCAAAGAGGAAGGGATGGTTACAACATGCTTATAAGCAAGCAATAAAAATCATTTTTGCAACGTTTTAAAATTCGACAGGGTCATTAGGCTCCACCAAACTACTCCATCGTTGCCTTCTTAGCTTTGTCAAAGCCCTAATTTTATGCCTTGTCCTAAACTTGTTTGAGTGAAGCCTAAAAGGTCTCCAAGTCAACTTGGAGGAAAGAATTGAGCTCCTTCACCAAAGCATCACGAACCGCCTTCTCAGATTGTTTGGATGCCTTCATCTTCTTAGCTACCTCATCGTTCTGACCAGATAATTTTTCAATTGCACTCTAGAGATGAGTAGTATCTTCGGAAGCCTTTGTTGAGTTCTCTTCCAAACACCCGCATTTCTCCATGGCCAAAGACTTCGAGGAATGACCTCCTTTACCTCCTTGCCCCTATTAACAGCTCAGACATCTAGATCAAACACTCGTTTCATGCCCTAATTGAAATAAAAAGGGGGTGAAGCAATGAAAGAAAAATGATATTGGGAAAAACAATTAACAATTAAGGACTCAGAGAATAATCATCTAGATCATAAAAAATTCATACATGCGGTGGAAGGATTGTAGCCTTAGCCAGACCGACCGCCACATCGACATCATTTCTTCCAGATCCAAGCCCCTTTAGCCTCATCAACAAATACCTCGGCGGTGGCTTTCCTCTTCTTCACAATGGTTTGCCTTCCAACCAGCTTGGTAATGGAAGTAGAATCTTCTGCTGGGTTGCTTTCACCTTCCCCCTCGGTTCGCACAAGCTGACATCCTGAAGAGGGTGGTTGTGCAGCAGGAGGGATAATTGCAAGAATAAAATGATTGTATATTTGTAATATATGTGTGTGAACAAAATGAGTGAATTCCAATCTTCATTTTCACAGTTTAGATGAGAATGATAGCCTTAAATTAAGGATTATTTATCATTCTACCATACTTTGAATTGAACGTCAATATTTGTAAGAGAATCATTCTGCAATCATTCTACCGTGTTGTCTACTGTTTGCCTCTGACCCTCTAACACTAGTTTTTATAGCAGAATTTAGGTTTGATGAGTTGCTTTTATTTGTTTATAATTGATTTTATTTTTCTAGCATTGAAAATTATATGCTTTTCCTTTGTGAAGTGGTATTTTCGACCTCTAATTGTTAAACCCCATGAGAACCAGAACAATATTTAGTTTTCCCCCTAACATTCAGATAGATCTAATTTAAATGGTTACTGATTAATGGTCATTGAGTTATATTTTGTGACATTTAGTGAGAATGTGTTTTATTTTAAGAGTGGTGGACCGAAATTCGCACAAACTTTTCCATGATTTACCTTCCAAACAAGTGACGAAGGCTATAATCATGTATTGATGTTTGGGACTCTTCGAACCTGTAATGGGAGTCCCAATATAATTGTGAATGAGATGGTTGTTCATTGTCAACATTCGACTTGTAGATTGCCCATCTCCATACATGGATAGGGTAGTCCACTCAGGTAGTCTAACCTGCCCGCCTACTTGTGCTATGAGTACCTCCTACTCATAATTTGTAGTGATTACTCCCTGTACTCTCTCTCATCAATCATGGAACTATTCTCTCTCCAGACCACTCTCATCTTCTTGCTCTTTCTTTGCCTCTATCTTTTCTTCCTCAAACTAAAACACAAACAAGAAACAACCCCAGGCTTCAAAGTCTACCCACTGGTCGGAATCCTCCCAGAGTTCCTCCAAAACCGCCAGCGCTTCCTGGAATGGACCACACAAATCCTCTCTCACTGCCCCACCAACAGCGCCTTCTTCCGCCTGCCCGGGAAATTTCACGGCGTCGTCACTGCCAACCCTCTAAACGTTGAATACATGCTCAAGATCAACTTCAAGAACTACCCAAAAGGCACTCGATTTATAACCCTCCTAGAAGACTTTCTCGGCAGTGGCATCTTCAACTCGGATGGTGAACTCTGGAAGGTTCAGCGAAAATCTGCCATCTATGAATTCAAAACGAAATCCTTCAGAAACTTTGTCATGAAGAATGTAACGGTGGAGATACAAAACAGATTGCTTCCGACCCTGGAAGATGCTGCACAATCAAACCGGGTTTGTGATATGCAAGACATTTTGGAGCGCTTTGGTTTTGATAATATATGTAAACTAGCATTCAATTTCGATCCGGGCTGTCTTGGAGGTGACGGAACTGCTGGTCGTGAGTTCATGCAAGCATTTGAAGAGGCTGCGATGCTTAGCTCTGAGAGGTTTATGTATGCCCTATCGTTTCTTTATGAAATAAAGAAGCTTTTCAACTTGGGATCAGAGCGAAGGCTTCGTAAATCAATCGCGACAGTGCATGAATTTGCTGATAAAATCATACGTTTAAGAATAGAAGAAAGACTGGAAAAGAAAGATGAAGATTTATTATCACGATTTATTGGTGACATAGAAAAGTCGAACAACTCAGCCATCTCCACCAAGTTTCTCCGAGATATCATCATAAGTTTCATTTTAGCCGGGCGAGACTCGACTTCATCAGCTCTAAGCTGGTTCTTTTGGTTGCTGTCATCAAGAGTGGATGTGGAACAAAAAATATTGCATGAACTCAACACAATTCGAACACTTCACCAGAAAAATATTGGGGAAGCCTATAGTTTTGATGAATTACGTGAAATGAATTATCTCCATGCAGCAATATCAGAAGCCATGCGGTTGTATCCTCCGGTACCAGTCGATACAAAGGCATGTCAGGAAGACGATGTCTTGCCGGATGGAACCTTTGTCGGAAAAGGGTGGCTTCTTGCATATCATACATATGCTATGGGAAGAATGGAAAGTGTATGGGGCAAAGATTGTTATGAGTACAAGCCAGAAAGATGGCTTGAAAATGGAGTTTGTAAGCTAGAGAGTCCATTTCGATTTCCGGTATTTCATGCCGGACCTCGAATGTGTCTTGGGAAAGATATGGCCTACATTCAGATGAAGTCTATTGCAGCTTCGGTGATGGAGAGGTTTGAGATTGAAGTATCGGAGAAGGACAAGTTCCCTGAGCACTTGTTGTCTTTGACTCTTAGGATGAAAGGTGGATTACCTGTGAGGGTTAAGCAGAGATGCGTAGACGTGATAAATTGAGACTTCTGCATCTATAGATCTATGTATGTGATTATGCGAAGCTAGTGAATAGATTTACCTAAGCAAGACTATTAGTTAAGAGTCCACACGACTAGCGTTTTCGTTTGGCTGGATTTTGTGCGTAAAAAAAACATACTAGGTAATACTTAGTTGTTAAATGCATCTAGTTAACTTGAGAATATAAATGGTTGAGTCTTGAATCTTGTTATGTGATTAATGTTATAGGAAAAAAGTGATCAAGATATATCTTGCCAACTATATGTATTTTGGAAATTATGAAATAAAAATATGAAAAATTATTCCTAAAGATTAGTTTACATGGGCTGTGTTTTCTTTATCACAAATACACAAAGGCTAAAATTAACATAATTGGTATCAAAGCATCAAAAAGATTTTTGAAGAATAAAAAATCCACTTAACAAAAATATTACATTAATTCATTGGTTATGTGGTTACTACAACTACTATTAAGATAACACACATCGTTCATTTGTTTTTCCAAGCATCTTTGTTGAGCTTCTTCAAAACTTTCGGGTTAAATCACACAAAAATTGCATCTAGAATACACATCACTAAGACTTCTCATTTTTCTTGAAGTTGAACTTAGAGATAAAGTGCTTGAACTTAAGGAACTAGTAAGAGATGACTGAGAGTTGGCTGTTGGAGACATTTGTAGTAGAACTTCAACTTCTTCATTTTTATTTCCATACTCAAAGCTTCCATAATCTTCATTTGCAACAATCACTTTATTTTGAACATTCTTTTTTTTTTCCCAATTCTAAGAGTCATTCCCATTAAAGAGAACATCTCTATAGATAATCACTTTGTTTCTATTCAAACTAAAGAGTCTATAACTATTTGATTTGAGCTATAACTCACAAAAATATAATTTTTACTGTTTTTATCAAATTTGTACCTTACTTCTTTAAGAACATGTACAAAACATATGTATTCAAAAACTTTTAAGTGATTTACTAACAACTTCCTTCGACACCATTCTTCAATTGAAGTTTGATGTTCTAAAGTCTTTGTTGGACATCTATTCATCAAGTAAGCCGTCGTGTATACTGTTTTCACCTAAAATGATTTAGGTAACCTTTTCTCATAAACCATTGATTTTTTAACAATGATTCTATTCTTTTTTTCGGTCACTCTATTTTGTTGTGGGGTATACCCAACCGTTAATTGAATTTCTTCCCATCTTGTATAGTGAAAGTATTATCTAGATCACTCTTACCTTCGTAGTACCACGATACTCATATTGTAAAATATTTCAAGCCATCTTTGACTTTGTTGCATTAAAAATTCTTGAAAAAATAATATATGTTACTCTATGTTGAATCAAATGAAAAGCATTTGCATCATTCTTCTTGGTTTCGTTTAATTTTTTTATAAAAGAAGATCAAATTTTGTAGATTGAAGTAAAAAATTACAAGAAGCAAATAATTACAAGAATCATACACTAACAGTCTCATTTGTACACTGAATGACTTTAATCCTTGAAAATGTCCTAAAAACATCTTCATTCCTGCCAGGGCATCAGACCTCCTCCCCCAACAATCTGATCCACAAAGGAGGCAAAATGCTTCTGCTAATACTTGGAAGAAAACCTAGCAACCAACAAAGCAACTGCCAATTCGTCACAGCTCGTAACAGCAAACTCCAGGTCTGTCTCCTCATTCCAGTAACCCATACTCCTTTTTCAACCATGATCATAAAAAAAAAAAAACATTCTTGGTTCGCAAAACAGGCAAGCATCTCTGATCCTGAACCAATCTTAGGCTCACAGCAACTGATCAAACCCAGAAAACTCAAAAGAGTATCCATCTTGAACTGCTTTGTTTGCCAAGGCATCAACAACAAAATTCGCCTCTCTATACACATGTTCCAACGAAAACTACATTCTGTTCAAAAGAAGCTTCATTTGAGCTAAAACACCCAACAAAGGCCAATTACAATCCACCATACCTTGAATAGAATTCACCAGGACTAGCGAGTCAGATTCAATCAAGATTTTGTACACTTGCAATCCATGCCTGACAACCAGACCAAGCTTATCCAGTAATGCCCTGAACTCAACACCCATAGTAGAATTTATAACATAATAAAAAGAAGATGCTGAGAGCAAACCTCCCCACTCATTCCTCAATACTGCCCCTCCTCTAGAAATGCCAGTGTTACCCTTAGCAGCTCCATCAACATTGAGTTTCAAAACCCCAACACTTGGATAAGTTCAACACACGCATATGGCCCTAGTGGATACCACATATGGATGACAATGCCTAACAATTGCAACACCATTCTACCACTATTATTATTCAAAACCTTGGCCTTATTATTCCTCACCTGAAAGTGTAAAAGACTACATCAGAAAAATAGAATAAGAATTAATCTTGCCTTCACTAGCCCTCCTCCTACATCTTTCCTTCCATACTTGCCAAAACACCAACAAGGCAAGACTCCTTATCAAACTACAACAAACAAACTTTCTTTTTAAAAACCCTTCAAAGCCTTTGCAATCTGAACAGAGGTAACTCACCACCAATCAACTGAAAACCACACATTGCAATAAATTTTTGCCAAATGGCCTTAACATATTCATATTCCACACAAACATGAACAACATCCTCATCCTCCTTATAACACAAAATACACCTACTTACCAAAGGAATTCCACACATCCTGATTCTGGAATCCAAAGGAAGAGCCTCCTTTAGCAGCTTCAAACCCACAAAATGAGCACTAGGTTTTGTAGGCATATTCCAAATGACTTTAGCAGTCACATTTCGCACCCCATGACTCCTTACTAAATTCCATGCAACCTTTAGGGAAAAACCCCCACACTTAGAATGCTGCCAAAAAAGCTTATTAGCAATATCAGAAAAAGACACCTAACACCCCAAAATATATGCCTTCATTTGCTCAATTAACAAGTCATCCACCTGATCCAGCTGCCATTGAGAATCCCTTACCAACTCACATACTTTTGGAAAGGAATGAGGCATAACCTCCATTCTACATATCAAAGGTACATCACCCACCCATTGGTCACAACAAAAATCAATCTTATCCCCTCTCCCAATCAACATTCTAGACTGCATGACAACCCTCTCGAAAAACAACCTTAAGGCTTTAAAACATTTAGAGTTACCCTCATTCACACACCTCTAAAGATGCTTGCCTTTCAGAAGTTTAGCAGAAAACACCTGGGCCCACAATGAAGACCCCTGCATTAAACTCTATACCTACTTCAATTTAAAAGCCACTTGTAACTCTTCAAACTTCCTCAATCTCAAACCTCCCTCAAATTTAGGCAAGGTAATTCTTTCCCATGCCACCCAATGCCTCCTTCTCACCTC